CCCCCCCCCCAGCCTCAGGCAACTTGGTCCAAGGGTTTGAAGAATTTATGCAGAAGTTCAGCAAAATTTCACTGTCACACATGGGCATATAGTACCAGCTTCACCTAGCCCACTGTTTTCTGTGGGACTACCCAGGGTGGTCAAGGGACACAAGTGCATCAGTGGCAGGCTGTTGAAGCTGCCAATGCTGGGTTTGACACAATATCATAAACAGTGTTCCCTGACATAAAAACTTGTATTAAATCAATTCCCACAAAATGGCCCTGTATGAAGAACAACCACACTATTTCGTTAGATATTTTTTATAGCAAGCTTTCATACAGATGAACTTGTATCTTATCAGAAGCTTAAGAATAAAGCTTTGTCTTTAAAATACTGTATTTTTCAGTGTTAGGCAAAATGAAAGAGTATTGAAATCTTTAGAAAGCTTGTTTCCTTTCTGATTATTGTTTCTGCAGTAAACAATAGTGATGTCTCAATAAAAGTTTAGACACATGGGAAATGCTGCAGGTGACTTGTGGAAGAAACCTCTACGTATACTTTGCACTGGTATGTCATTCTAATAAATGTAGTCTGAAAAATTATGTTTGTGTTTTGAAAAACTGGCTAATCATGCAGACACAGTCTACAGTGTCAGGTTTTTTTTTTCTTCTCTCCTTTGATATTCCTTTTTTGGGTACTACCTGTCTTTATCCATCAAGTGGGAAGACCAAAAAAAAAAAACCCCAAAACCCAGAATGAAAGCCCAAGCCAAAGAAAACCAGTTCCTTCTGCCTCTACACAAAACGCTATTTGCAACAGTCAGTGGCTGGTTCTAACTTAGATAATCCAAAGTAGGTCAGCTTCATGAGTCTTCTAGACTTTCCAACTTAGTAACTCCAAAGGATAATACTACAATTTTTAGTTAATGAGAGAACATTAAAAAAAAATAACTTCAGGAAGCTGTGAACTGCAGTATCTCCTTACTGAAGACAGAATGCCACATGGCAAGAACAGATGGGTAATCCTTCCGTGATTACCCTCGACCACTGGCTGAAAGAAAAAGCTGTCGCAACACTGATGGCTGTATGTAAAGTACATATATGTGACATCTCCCCTCATTGGTAGTAAAAGGTTATATATGATAAGAGATTATAAAGAAAAAGGGATGCTTTAATGTGATGGCAAAGGGAATAATTCTTCCATTTTCCTTCACTTTCTGAAGTGGAGCATATGCCAAGGTCCTGAAGTAAATTTATCTCTCAGAAGGAAGAAGTAATATGTATTCCCCATACGTATTATGTATTTTATATAAATTGGACATAGAAAAGTACCTGCTTTTATTGTCTTTGACAGTACTGACCCAGAAGTGAAAAGTAAGGATTGCTTCTGTTGCTAATTTATAGATACTGTAACCAGAATGAAATGTTGATGTTAAAAATTTGGCTTTTGCATATACACTGACACAAGAGTTTGTATTTGCAAACTATTAAGTGGCAAAATAGACTGAGTGGATTAAGAATATCTTGCTGGAATCTCAACTTTTATGAAACCACCAGAACTAAAGGTATTTCTTGCACACAGTGGTCACATCTCCACTGGCTTTGGTTCTGCCAGTGCACACTAAGAGAGAAACTGGCTTTTATAACTCACTGGGAGAGAAGCTAGATGTAAAATGAATGCATAGCAAGGAATCCTGGGGTTTTGTTTGTTTGTGAAGAGATGGAATAGTGAATATTCGTGGTACAGTATACCTGAGTGGTGAATAATGTACATGTAAACTATAAAATGACTTGAATTGAAGAACACAGAATAAGTTAATAATGGTGCTGTGGTTCCAAAAAAATCAAGATACATTTCCCCTACCTTTAATGTATAGCAATACACCTGTGTTTAAAAACAAACAAAAAAAATTAGTTGGGAACCTGTTGCAGAGCAGGCACTGAACTGTAATTTGAGATCATGAAATTCTCAGAGTAATTCCTTTATCCTGTTTTGCTCTTTCAGATTTGATGCATAGACGAGTAAGACCTCCAGCCTCCTGGGAAAAAGGTGTATGTCTTCCATATGCACAATGCTTCACTAAAATGATTAGGGACGGTATGTTGTTCCGGCTAGTGATAGAAGGAAAAGAAAAAAAAAAAGAATTTGCCACGTCAGGCGAGAAGTCCAAATCTCAGGAAGATACCTCTGCTGCTACTGCAGGTGACTTATAAAACACTGTTCATGCTTGTGGCCTATTTTCAATCTTTTCTGTTCCTAAGGTGCATTCCTTAGGTGCTATGATTTTTTTAAATCATAGGAATATACACAAATTTGCTAATTGTTCTGGATTCTTCACAGATTTTCTTTTAAGATTGAGTATATTAGAGATACTTATCCTTTGACAAATCAGTTCATTCCCAGATGAGCCTTTTTCCCCTTCGCCCTGATGACATGGATCTGAAATCTAAATTTTGATGTGATAGGGACATGACTGTTTTTAAGAAAAATGCAAATTTTCACTCTGAAATAACTTAGTCTTTCACTGATTACAGAATGTGCTTCTAAACCGCCTATGAGTCAGCCTGAGTTGGAGTTCAGATAAGCCTGTAGTGTTTGTTCACCAGATGGACTGTAAGCTCTTCAAAGTAGAGGAAAGGATATTGCTTATTAACATTGCTCTCAACTTAACTTCTTTGTACAAAGTCTGGTTACTTGATTCAATTTTAGACTAAATCTACACTGGAAGGAGGAGGAAATGTATTTTTATAACAGGATAGGTAAATCTAGCAAAGTAGATCAGAGTAAAAATTTTACTGAAAACAGAGTATGGTTCCTTTTGTACATCATTCTACGTAGCCAGGAGTGATACCCACCTGCTCTGAAACAACCCAGACTGAATTTACATACCTATGCAGAGGTAAAAAATACTTAAGCCAATTATATGTTAGGATTTTAGAGCAAATTAGCCAAGTCATACTAGTTATCCTTGCTTAAAACACCATCTCTCTGACAATAAAGTGCAAACATGGTAATACTTACCTATTAAGAACCAAATCTGCTTTTTCTCTTAGATACTTTGTGCTAGATACTAATGGGCTCATGCCACATGAGCAACATCAGGAATCTTCAGTCGTAACTCTCTCAAATGTCCTCTGTGTAACCAGATTAAATATTTTCTGATGCAAAACAGCTCACTTGAGCTGCCATTATTCATGAAGGTGATAATAAGAAAAGTCCATTTTATGTTTTTTTTACATAATTTCTGATTTTGGTTTGTTCTTAGGATTTGTACAGTTCAGTTTTTGTGATTTTTTTTTTTAATCTTCAAATTCTCAAGAAGCCGAGCCTTGCCCTTTTTACTTTCAGTTTGAATCAGCACAGGAAAAAGTAATTAGTTAAATTATTCTCCTTCTTACTTCTATTTGAATCTTTTCTTTAGCAACAGAAGAAGGATGTTTTGAGCAGTTAGCGGTCATTGGTCGTGGCACGGTTTTAAAAATTAATGCCATACCTACTGTACTCGCCTTTCCAGATTTTACATAATCTCTATAAATACAAGGAAAGGAGGATGTTGTCAGAGAGGAAGCCTGCTCCTCTCTCCGCTCTGCTTTTTCACTCAGTGAAGACGTGTCTCCTGCTGAGGCTCCCACCCATACACAGGTCTGACTTGACACGGAAGGTTTGGATCTTTATGGCCTATAAATGATTGTGGTTTGGATACAAATCTTGCCAGACGTGCTTTCAGTAGGACACATGTGAGACTGAGCATGCACTGCTGTTGCTCACTGCCTTATCAGTCACAGTAATTATATACAGAGATTAGAGAAATCCACAGACATTTTCCAGTATAAAAATTGCCCCTGAAAATCTGGAGGAAATTTTCCAATAGGTCATAAAAATTTTAAGGAACATAGATCACAATTTGGTCATAATTACTGCTGTGCTCCTTTTATAGAGAACAGTGTTGACCTGTGCTAAAACATTACCTGGCTTGAATGTTGGTTTTAGGGCTTTTAGCCGTTTCTGGGCACCCACTTTATTGTGTCTCCCACTTCACAGTGAGGTACGCAGGATCAGAATCAGGCCATGAGGTCTGTGGCCCTTCAGAGCTCTTGGTGATTTGGTCTGTTCAAAGTCTGTTTTTTTCTGGCTCCTTGAGCACCCCCTGCCCTCTAAAAGCCCAAGGGAAGGCTGCATGGGGCAACCACATGCTAAAACCACAACTTCCTTTTGAAGAGGAAGGCACTTAATCCCAAGTGGAAGACACTTTTATCTAGTATTTGTCAGCAGATTTTCTTGAGTGTATTTATAATGCTCAATTATTTGATGATTTGGAATGAAAATTATCCATCAATTTCCCGAGCTGTGCAGACTTCATCAGACTATTCAAGAACACTTTGAATCTTTTTTGGGTTTTTTGTTCAAACAGCTCACTTCGCTGTACTGTGTGACCAGCAAATACCATGCCTGTGCAACTGGTGTGGAAGCCTGGCACTGTCAAAATTTGTTGTCGGGGTCTCTCTGCCCATAAAGAGCAGTGTGCCATCATCACAGAGGGCAAAAAATGAATCCTGTCCCTTTGATGAACAGAAAGTCAGCCACACAATGCTGAGCCTTCACCAGAAAGAAGCCTTTCTGGGCAGACTTTCCTGGAAGTTACTAATGATGCATTTTGACCTCTCTGTTGAATGACACCTTGAAGTCAGTGATACTTCGACTATGACCCTGTTTGAAACTGCATGTGTGTATTTGGGCCTGATTCAGATCTCACTATTCTATACAACAAGAGTAAGTGTACTGAGTCGATGGTTTTACACCAGGACAGAGTTGCTGTGAAGTGAGTATTCAACAGCAATCAGATGATAGTACAGGAACAAAAAGCTCAAGAATCACCACATAAGGACCACCACCTTAATTTTTTTCCTTGAGGCTCCAATTTCATCCTGGAGACTCAAAATTCATGTGTTAGGAGCAACAGATTATTTCTAAACATGATTCTTCCATCAGATCATGAGATTATTATTAAAAATTAATTGTAATATTAGAAAGCCTGTTTATCCAATCATGCACACCTCTGTAAGGCTAAATACTTTCACAACGCTTCTTACCACTAACCTGTCATGTACTTCATCTGCTTCAGTAACACTGTGTCAAAAGAAACATCCTGTGATGTATCTTTTTTTCATAGCCTCACTGGATCAAGAGGAATATTCCCTTAATAAAGGATGATTCTGAATCGTACGACTTGTTTCATTGTTCTTCAAATCAGAAACTAAAGTACTTCCAGTACAAACAAAATCCTGCCGGTCTGTGAAAATCCTACCTGGCTATCATTTAGAAAAAGCAACTATCCTTATCAGAAGATATTATTTTTCACCTTTGAATTTGGTTTGTAAAGTGGAATTAGGCTTACAAAAAGAGGCACTGTTCAGGCAGATTAAAAAAAATCCACCCTACTCTACTATCATCAGATAATGAGATCTTTCAGATTAGAAAACCAATACACGTATGGAAGAAAAAGGTAACTGAAGTCATCCATTACGTACATTTTTTGAGACACTGGGCATTTAATTACAGTCATCTTGCACCTATGCCTGGTAATTGCAAACCCCTCAGGGCTGTGGAGGTGTTGCACCTTGCTCTCATTCTCACTCTGCTGAGGCCAAATGCTGCCAGCGACTTTTTTGCTTCAGGAAAAAAAAAAAAATAAATCTCAGTCCTGGGGGATTTGGACCATTTTTACCTGTGAAACGGTTTGCATGCATTTACACCAGAGTCATACATGGGACTGCTGTTTGGCAGATGGGGGGAAAAAGACAGTGACTTTAAAGGCGTCACCTACGCTGCAGTCAAACCACTTGGGAATGAACGTGGCACTCCGGTCTAGTCCGAGCAGTTGAAGTAACAGCCTTTCAAAAGTAAAGACTGGTCAATAGCTACTTGGCAGGGAAATTAACGAGTATAGGTGGCGTTATTGATAATCAGTGGAAGTTTGCCGATTTATCGACAATTTTTTTTTCATTAAGGGGCACAAGCCACAGTACCTTTTTGCTGCGGCCATTTTTAATGCGACCAGCTGCAACGAGAAAGCCCCCCCTGGAACGGCTGCAGGTCATTTCGGCGCGAATTGGCTCCAAGTCGGTTAAAAGAATTAATACTGACCATGATAGAAAAAGGGCCGAGTACCGGCCGGCCGAGGGGGGCGGCTGCCAGTCGGGAGCGGGGCAAGGCGGGAACGGGGCGGCGGGC